TGACATGGTTCTTTGTATTCTCTCCGTAATTTAACTAATTTAAAATTATTGGATATTAATGCGACTGATATTAATGCTGGACTAGAATATTTGCCCACGCAAAGATTAAGTTATTTTTCTTTTGATAATCAAGGTCGTAGCGAAGCAGGAGTAGATCAATTGAAACAAGTTTTGGATTATTATGTCAATAATGTAATTATTGAAGATGGTGATGGCGTTGGAGAGGATGATAGTTTTGATGCTCTTAACAACGCAACCATTGACAATATTCGTTCTTATCAAGCCCAACTTAAGGAAGGACGCAATGATTATTCAACGCTCAAACCATTAATAAATGGAAAAATACCGATATCCGAAGTTTTATCCTACTGATAAGTATTACTTTAATAGAGATTCATAATTCTTTATTATTTACACATATTAAAGAAACTTGGCAGAATAAGCAAAAGGACATGCGAGGAACTAAAAAAGCCCAAAAAATAAGAACAAGATTGCTGCTATTGATACTTTCGAACAAATCATAACCAAACAGCGCGAGTTCCTGTTCTGTAAAGAGACTATCGCTGACGATTAGGACTGATGAGACAGAAGCAAAATACTTGGAGCAGATTACTTGACTGGTAAGTATTCAAAGGGAGACAAAATAATAATTTTTAGTGCAAAATTGTATGTAATTACCAAAATAAAAAACTCAAAAAACATTACAATGACCTTTCCTAATAAGCCCCGCGGTACTCAGGATATTTATCCTCCCCGCTCCCTAATTTACCAGAAAATCCAACAAATTATTACGGAAATATTACACAAAAATAATTACCAACCGATAATTTTCCCCACTTTTGAATTCAAAGAATTGTTTACTAGTTCCTTAGGTTCCACCACTGATATTATTCATAAGGAAATGTATACTTTTCAGGATAGAAAAGAGCGAGAAATGGCATTACGACCGGAAGGGACTGCCAGTGTAGTGCGTTTAGTTTGTCAAAATAAGTTGGTTAGAGAAGGTTATCCCTCGAAATTATATTATTGAGCCAATATGTTCCGTTACGAACGACCGCAAAAAGGTCGTTATCGCGAGTTTTGACAATTAGGAGTTGAATTGGTCAATGCCGGAGGAGTTATCGCTGATTGCCAAATATTAAAACTTGTTTCCGATATTTTGGGCGGTTTAGGAATAAAAAACTTTACTTTTAAATTAAATTATTTGGGAGATAGTGAGACCAAAGAAAAATACAAAAACGAATTAGAAAAGTTTGTTAAAAAAAATAATCCTGATTTATGCGAGGATTGCCAAAGGAGATATCAAACTAATCCTTTAAGAATTCTTGATTGTTTACTCTGCCAAAATAAATCCCCTTATCCTTCCTATAAAGACGCTTGGAATGAAAAAGATAACAATCATATAAATGAACTTAATCACATTTTAAATAAATTTAATTTTCCTTATCAATATGATTATTTTTTAGTACGAGGTTTGGATTATTACACCGGATTGGTTTTTGAAGTCGATTTAGGAACAGAAAAAGCCCAAAAAATAAGAACAAGATTGCTGCTATTGATACTTTCGAACAAATCATAACCAAACAGCGC